TTGGAAGCCCGAAGCGGTAGGACGCCCAAATCCTTCAAAAACCTTTGGAACATGTGTATAAACATATATATATATATATATGGAGAGAGAGAGATGTGTGTCCATATATATATATATAGTGTTATATATATGCATAGAAATACACATATAGATGGCAACGCGCGGTCCTCTTGGAGCCATCTTGGGCCGTCTTGGATGCCTCTTGATCCGCTTGGAAAGCTTCCTGGGCCGTCTGGGACCCCTGGAGCCCGTCTTCGGGGTGGCTCGGGGCCTGGACGGCAGTCTGATCGCTCTGGGGACCGATTTGTGCAGCCCCCCACCAGCGGGCCCGGTCCCGAAGCGCCCCGAAAATAGGGTCAGCCCACCCCCACAAATAAAAAGGGGACCAGGGGGGGGGAAACGTGTGGCGCCCCTGGGGCTGGAGGCCCAGTTCCCCGTTATACAATATGCTTTTGAGAACTACAGAGCCATGAACCAGTTTGAAAGTTGATGCGACTTTGCAGCGCCAATGAAACGCGCGAACTCATGACCAGCACCCTGCGCGACGGTCGAAACCTTGCGCGCGCTGCCCATGAGCCCACGGGCACTCATGGCCGTCCGCCTTTCCCACCCGGCACGCACGTGCACGACATCCCGACGGGAGCGACATGGATGCCGCACGCGCCTTCCCCGGCGCTCGCTGCGAAAAGAGGTTTGAGCATGACCCGCTCCCCCCGCCCGGCACCACGCTCGCATGGCTCACTAGAGGGGCACGGGACACCCGCCCAGGGGCACCTGTAGCGAGGGATCCGCTACAGGATCTATAGAGGAAGAAAAAACGGCATAAACATAAACTTTTGGCGCTCCGCGCAGCTGTCTTGGATCTGCGCCGGAGCCCCCTCCCTGGCGCGCGGAGCGCGCCAGGGGCGGCGCTGGAGAAGCCGCCAGGGGGGGGGCCCAGGGCGGATCCAAGAAATCCGCGCGGGGCACCAAAAGTTTATGTTTATGGCATGTTACCTAACAGCGAAGACTGATAGGTTTCTAGTGGGGTCAGAAGAGAGCATCATGACTCCCCAGGGGGGTCTGGGCGGCATCTGGACTGGGATCCGCGGAAGTCGTTTTAAGCAAACGGTTACACACTTCGTGGACTTCGAGGTCCCAGAACTCCATTCCCGGGCCACATTCTGAATGCCCAGAGCTAACTGTAGGCCACTTCGTGGTCTTCGAGTTCCCAGAACTCCATTCCTGGGCATGATTTTGAATGCCCGGAGCCAACTGTAGGCCTTCGTGCTCTTCGAGTTCCCAGAACTCCATTCCCGGGCCAGATTTTGAATGCCCGGAGCCAACTGTAGGCCACTTCGTGGTCTTCGAGTTCCCAGAACTCCATTCCTGGGCATGATTTTGAATGCCCGGAGCCAACTGTAGGCCACTTCGTGTTCTTCGAGTTCCCAGAACTCCATTCCCGGGCCACATTTTGAATGCTGAGGCAGGCTGATGCTGAGGCTGAGGCAGGCTGAGGCTGAGGCAGGCTGAGGCTGAGGCCGAGGCTGAAGGCATACTGAGGCTGAGGCTGAAGCAGGCTGAGGCTGAGGCAGGCTGAGGCTGAGGCTGAGGCTGAAGGCAGACTGAGGCTGAGGCTGAAGCAGGCAGGCAGGCTGAGCTGGCTGAGGCTGAGGCTGAGGCAGGCTGATGCTGAGCAAGGCTGAGGCTGACGCTTTGAGCTGAGGCTGATGCAGCTGAGGCTGAGGCAGGCTGAGGCTGAGACAGGCTAAGAGGCTGAGGCCGAGGCTGAAGGCCGACTGAGGCTGAGGCTGAAGCAGGCTGAGGCTGAGGCTGAGGCAGGCTGAGGCTGAGGCTGAGGCAGGCTGATGCTGAGGCAGGCTGAGGCTGAGGCTGAGGCTGAGGCAGGCTGAGGCTGAATGCAGACTGAGGCTGAGGCCGAGGCTGAAGGCAGACTGAGGCTGAGGCTGAAGCAGGCTGAGGCTGAGGCTGAGGCAGGCTGAGGCTGAGGCTGATGCAGGCTGAGGCTGAGGCAGGCTGAGGCTGAGGCTGATGCAGGCTGAGGCTGAGGCAGGCTGAGGCTGAGGCCGAGGCTGAAGGCCGACTGAGGCTGAGGCTGAAGCAGGCTGAGGCTGAGGCCGAGGCAGGCTGAGGCTGAGGCTGAGGCAGGCTGATGCTGAGGCAGGCTGAGGCTGAGGCTGAGGCTGATGCAGGCTGAGGCTGAGGCAGGCTGAGGCTGAGGCCGAGGCTGAAGGCAGACTGAGCCTGAGGCTGAAGCAGGCTGAGGCTGAGGCTGAGGCAGGCTGAGGCTGAGGCAGGCTGAGGCTGAGGCTGATGCAGGCTGAGGCAGAGGCAGGCTGAGACTGAAGCCGAGGCTGCAGGCAGATTGAGGCTGAGGCTGAGGCAGAGGCAGGCTGAGGCTGCGGCTGAGGCAGGCTGATGCTGAAGCAGGCTGAGGCTGAGGCTGAGGCTGATGCAGGCTGAGGCTGAGGCAGGCTGAGGCTGAGGCCGAGGCTGAAGGCAGACTGAGGCTGAGGCTGAAGCAGGCTGAGGCTGAGGCTGAGGCAGGCTGAGGCTGAGGCTGAGGCAGGCTGATGCTGAGGCCGGCTGAGGCTGAGGCTGAGGCTGATGCAGGCTGAGGCTGAGGCAGGCTGAGGCTGAGGCCGAGGCTGAAGGCAGACTGAGGCTGAGGCTGAAGCAGGCTGAGGCTGAGGCTGAGGCAGGCTGAGGCTGAGCCTGAGGCAGGCTGATGCTGAGGCAGGCTGAGGCTGAGGCTGAGGCTGATGCAGGCTGAGGCTGAGGCAGGCTGAGGCTGAGGCCGAGGCTGAAGGCAGACTGAGGCTGAGGCTGAAGCAGGCTGAGGCTGAGGCTGAGGCAGGCTGAGGCTGAGGCTGAGGCTGACGCATGCGGCCCTGAGGCGAGGCAGCTGATGCGAGCAAGGCTTAGGCTGAGGCTGAGGCTGATGCAGGGTGAGGCGGATGCGGCTGAGGCTGAGGCCCGAGGCTGAAGGCAGACTGATGCTGAGGGCTGAGCGCTGAGGCTGAGGCCGAGGCAGGCTGAGGCCGAGGCAGGCTGAGACTGAGGCTGAGGCAGGCTGAGGCTGAGGCTATGACTGCGACTGCCGTTGCCACTGCGACTGTCATCGCGAATGCGACTACGACTGCGAGAACAGCAGAATTCTACAACTGGATTCTCATCTGAACCTCAAGGGGAGTGCTTCCAGAGATGCTTCTACACATCGCTGTTAGGTTGCTTTGCCGAGATAAGTTTCTTCTTCGAATCTAGGCAGGCCTCGAGAAGGAACCACGCTTCGAGGCCCAGTCCACGGGGAGACTGGCAGGCCACTGGCGCACCCACGAGGGCTGCGGCCGTGGGCCGAGGCATCCTGGGGCCCTGGTCTTCTCCCGCTGGGCCCGGCGAGGTCCTGCTCTTGGTGGGCCCCCTTTTCCACCGCCACCACCACAAGTGGAAGGGGGAGGGGATCCTCCTCCTCCTCCTCCTCCTCCTCCTCCTCCTCCTCCTCCTCATCCTCCTCCTCCTCCTCCTCCTCCTCCTCCCTCCTCTCCTCCATCTCCTCCATCTCCTCCTCCTCCTCCTCCTCCTCCTCCTCCTCCTCTCCTCCTCGTCCTCGTCCTCCTCGTCCTCCTCCTCCTCCTCCTCGTCCTCCTCGTCCTCCTCCTCCTCCTCCTCCTCCTCCTTTTCCTCCTCCTCCTCCTCCTCCTCCTCCTCCTCCATCTCCTTCCCCCCTCCAACCTATGGTGGTGGTGGTGGAGAACAGGCCCATCAGCTGTGCATTGTCCTGGATCACGGGGCCCTGAAAAGCTAGCAGTGCCCTGCACGCCGGGAGCAAGCCGGTACCGTCGCAGTGAACTCCCCGCTGGCTCAGCTCTCAGCCCCCCACGTCCTGCCGGAAGCGAGCTCTGGCATGCATGCAGAGTGAGCTTCCGAGCCATGCGTTTCCGACAGCCCAGCGCTAGGCGCAAGGGAAGTAAGCCGACACGCTCGGCCTCAACTTCCAGCAGACACCGCTGGCAGCGCGGTGTGCGCCGGCCGAAGTGCACGAGAAGCGAGTCGGCAACCTCGCGAGACTCACGGGAGGGGCAAGGCCCCAGGGCTCGGGTATTCACGGGTCCATCAGGCAAGCAGTAAGAGCCCTCCAGGAATGCCTAGTCACAGAAGTGCCACCAAAACGCATTCCTCCACCGCACCAACGCATTCCTCCACCGCACCAAGCCTCACCGCTGGGCCGTCTCACCAGTGGTGTTGTCACTTTCAGGGGTTGAAAGAAAACAAAAAAAGAAGTGCCACCAAACAAAAACTGGGCGTTGCGCCACATGCGCGAACCGAGACGGCGGGCAGGGGTGGGATTCTACGAGGCCTGTGCGCAATACTGGCGCACCTGTGCTCTGCAGGGCCATGTACACTGCACGCCACACACTTGCGGAGACCAGGGGCACTGTGCAAACCTCCGCAAGCAAACGTACAACACCACACCCCTCAAGACACCACCGGTCCGTATACAAACACAGTCACACATGCCTGTGCACGACGGGCCTGTGCACACCAGTTCTACGCAAGCCGTAGGCGCACGCCTGTGCATACCACAAGCGCGGGCCTTTCCGAGGTTCCTGTTCTCTCCTAGGCCACATTTCCCCGTGACTTGCCAAAGGCCTGACTCCTTGAGATCGCCACCCAGGTCTGAAAAGGTGGTGGAACTGAAAGATGCAAGCACAGGTCCACCTGCACGGCAAAGAGCGGCAACGTGGACTGCAGCGCTCAACCGTCACGAGGGTCCTCTCGCCCCGACTCGGGATCAAGCCAGTCAGTATACATGATTCGCCTTGGTCCAAAATGGCTGCAGGGGAGGAGGAGGAGGAGGAGGAGGAGGAGGAGGAGGAGGAGGAGGAGCAGCATCATCAGAGGAGAAGCGGGGAAAAGAGGAAAAGCGGGATGATGAGGAGAGGGTGAGATGCAGGAAATGGAACAGGAGGAGCACGTGGGGAGAAGAAGTGAGCGTCAGGGGGGGAAGGGGGCGACAGGGGGGAGGATGAGGGAGGGGGCGAGATTAGGCGTGTGGATGCAATGAGGGTCCATATCCTGTTCTTGCCAGACGGCCTGGAGGACACAAGCTCGGACAGTCCCTCAAAGAACACCAGCATCTGCTGTTTCTCGATGTCCACCACCTATTGTGAGAGAGATGCGCGGAAGCCTACCCCAAACGCTTCCCTCACTAGCACCTCCCCTGCCCCTCCAGCCCTCTTTTCAGGGCGGGTGGGGTGGGCGTGATTATCTTGCCCTTCAGCCTCGACCCTCACGCCCTTGAGCACCTCATTGTTCTCAAGCTTGGACGTGAGTTTCCGAGACCCATTGAGAAGGGCGTCCCTCGTAGCGCCTATGTTGAGATACACGCCCGCGGGAGTTCTGCGACATACCCTGCCATCAACCATGTCGCCCACCTTTATGTCTTCGAGAGGCTTCAACTTGGTCATCCCATCGATGGAAACATAAAAGAGGCCAGATTCCAAGTCTACCTTCTCGACTGTTACATTCACAGACTGCCTTATCTTCACTCGTCTCAGCTCCGGTACGGGTGCCCAGACGAGCCCCGTCTTTTCGAAGCCGATGTCGACGAAGTAAGCCCCAGACTTCGATCGGGAAGCCAGCGTGCCCTCCCACGTCTCACCGACCTTAGGCTGGTGCATACACTGGCAGCCGAAAGGATCCTGGAGGAGGCGCGGGAGGAGGGGGAAGACGAGAGTTGAGCAAGGGCCGACCTTCCCAGCATTATTCCTCCAGGCCGATCACGGAATGTTCTGCAACAAAATCACACATTGACAGCACAAGCAAGGTTCCGATAACGTGGTAGCGACGTGTGAAGACAACACTGTCTCGGCAAGAATGGGTCTAAAAACCCGTCGCTAATGTTCTTACAACATTATTCCGTGGGACTGTAGGCATATCAAGACACCTCACCACTGCTTGAGAAAGGTGGACATGTTAAAACGATCCGCCCTCAATCTGTGAAACCATTGCCAATGTTTTAGCTTCAGGGCCAGGAAAAAAGGTAAGGAAGTCTCAGGCGAAACGACCGGCCCGCCCTAAAAACTGGCCTCGGGGTGCGGCAAGGAGAAATTACTTATAATGACAAGGAATGGAGGAGGAGGAGGAGGAGGAGATGGAGGAGGAGATGGAGGAGGACGAGGAGGAGGGGGAGATGGAGTAGATGGGGTACGAGGAGGAGGACGAGGAGGAGGAGGAGGAGGAGGAGGACACCGCTCTAGCGCCGCGCAAATTCGTCTTCAAAATTTGCAAGAGCTTCACGGATTGAGGGCGTGTCGTTTTCAAGATGTGGCTCTCGCCTTCGCGCGGCGCACACTCGTTTTTAAACAGTTGCGAGAGCTTCACGGATTGAGGGCGTGTCGCTGTCACAATGTGACTCTCGCCTTCGCGCCGCGCACATTCTTTCTTTCTTTCTGTAACGTGCAAGAGCTTCACGGATTCCCATGATCAACGCACCAGGACTAGTGTTTCGACAAAAAGAGAATACTATGAGGGTGCAACGGTTACGTTGATTCGCGGTGATGAAGTTCCAGGAATGGCGTCCTGGCACGATTCAAGATCGTCAAGATGCAACAGTCAGGTTGACCCGTGGCGTTTGAATCCCGAGGACAATGTTTTGGCATGCTTCAGTGTCTTCAAACGGCTGTCTTCCAACGAGGCAGTTCCCTCAGTGGAACTGAACCGTTGTAGGGGGGCATATGAAGAGGGGGCTTGGAGGTAAGGTTGATTCCAACATCGTTGATGACTCTTGGGTTTACACTGATCCTCCTCCTCCTCCTTCTCCTCGTCCTCCATCTCCTCCTCCTCCTTCCTCCCTCTTCCTACCCGCTTTCTCGGCACGCCCGGAAAGGAGACGGAAGAGAAAGGCACGACATCCGACCACAGACGTCGTTCCAAAACGACAGCGGCCGCCGTTGGGCATGCGACTGTCTGTCTTAAGCGGACAACGTCGCGACACTGGCAGCGAGCCCCGGCCAGAATGGGACAGGAGCTGCTGTCGCTCTCCGTCGCCTCTATTTCCGTACCGGTCGTCCCAGTTCTCCTCGCCAACGTATATAACACACACACACACACACACGCACGCACGCACTCACGCACACACACACACACACACACACACACACACGCACGCACGCACGCACGCACGCACGCACGCACGCACGCACGCACGCACGCACGCACGCACGCACACCAGCGGCCCAACAGGGGCCAGAGGCAGGCCTCCCCGTCCACCTGTGCACCCGTCCGAGACAACGACGGTATCGTGCGCGGGCCGCCTTGCACCCCTACAGGCAACGGCGTGCCGACCGGCTTCCCGTCCGCTCGCGCGGGCCGGGTCGAACGAGCGGGGGAGGAGGAGGAGGAGGAGGAGGAGGAGGAGGAGGAGGAGGAGGAGGAGGAGAAGGAGGAGGAGATGAGGAGGAGGAAAAAGAGGAGGAGGAGGAGGAGAAAGAGGAGGAGGAGGAGGAGGAGGAGGAGGAGGAGGAGGAGGAGGAGGGGGCGAAGGAAGAGGGAGGAGGCAGCCCGGGAGGAGCTCGGGGGAGCAGCCGGCGGGCGGGGGCACGCCCCTCCCCGAATCAGCTCACGCAGTGTCAACGTGTGGCCGACAAGAGCGCGCCAGGCACGCGACTTGAACAACTGACCAGGGCTGGGCGCAGATGCACACACACACAACACACACACACGCGCGCACACACACACGCGCGCACACACACACACGCGCGCACACACGCGCGCGAGCGCACACACACACACACACACACACACACACACACACACACACACACACACACACGCGCGCGCGCGCACACAGCGCTCACACATGCACTGCGCTCCGCTGCGCAAGTTTGCTCCCGCTCGGAAGCGGCGCTTCGTTTGTACCCATCCATGGCGAGGTCACTCGCACTCCTCAGGCGCGCGTGACAAAAAAACAATGTGTGCGTCCTGTGGGGTCTTGTCACCAGCCACCGGAGGGGGCATGAGGGTCACTTGCGAATCGCAAGCTAAAAGCACCTGGTTTTCCAAGCGCTGGAGGCGCCAAGGTATAGAGGAAAGGGCTCCCAGCGGCGGGGTCGAAACCAGATGCATGCAGCAGGCTCGCGCTTGTTTTGCCAGATGAACCAGGATGCTCCTCGGTGGTTCCTCGATGGTCATCGCCGAGGATGCCAAAGGCACACGCTCAAGCGAGGCCAAGACTTGTGCACATCGGCCCTGCAGGAGCGGCGCGCACGCCGAGAAATACCTTACGGCATGCAGATGCTCCGTTGCGGGCGCCTCCTCGCCATACCGCCCTGGCAGCGAGATGCCAGGAGGCGTTGTGAACTATATGTTCGGACCTGGCGAGCGCCTCCGAGGAGGGTGCGTCACACGAGTACAGGCGGACCCGGTACAGCAGATGATTCCTCAAGAGCATGGGACCCTCCGCCGGCCACACTGAAGCACAGTCGGCCCGCACCAGAAGGATGCGCGATAAGGATGCAAGGCTAGGGCCTTGGGCGCCCATATCGAGGCTTTTCGAGCGGGGCACGGCCGACGAAGTGGCCAAGGCTGGCCCGAGGATGCAAAGATGCAAGAGTGCCCCTGGGAAGGTTGCCCATGCTCATGATGCGGATCGGCTGTACACCCGAGGGTACCCTCCCCCAGGAAGAACCAGCACATCCAGCAAGCGCGAAGAGCATCGGGGCACCCTCCCCGAACCGACCCCGCTCTCCTACCTCGGCCCAACTCTCCCCGTCGCTCGGACGTCCATTTTCCCTTGCATCTGTCGGTTTCGTGCGTGTTTTTTTCTCGCAGGATGCTCCAGGATGCTCCTTAAGAATCCCCGCCGAGAAAAAAAGCACACGTCCGAGCGATACCAAGAACTGTATTTCCTCCTGCGCCTCACAGCCCCCCCCCTTAGCTGCCTAGATACGCAACACGCAACACGTACCGTATCGATACGGAACTCAACACGTAGGCTGAAAACGCAGGTCCGACGCGATGCACTCGCCAAAACGCGGTCCAATGCGAGGAGCCAACACGCAACGTATTGACACGGGCGTCTTGAACACGGGACGTGGTGCGTTTCAAAACGCGCGCATCGAGGCAGCTGAACTCACAGCCCCCCCCCCCTTAGGAGGCAACTACTGGGAGGTTTTCGTCGGAGAAATTAAAGAGGATTAAGTCCCATTTGGGGACTGTTACGCCGGAATGGGCCTCAGACTAAGCAGGATTAAGCCGGATTAAGCGGGATTGAGCGGGATTAAGCCGGATTAAGCGGGATTAAGCCGGATTAAGCCGGTTTTCGGACCAGGGCAAAGTCAGAATTTAACCTCCCAGGAGTTGCATCCGAACCCCCCCGTCTCGTCGGACCCGCGCGGGGCTGGCAGGAGCCCGCAGCGCGCTCCGCAAAAGGGCCCGCGAGCCGGGAGCCGCGGGGCCGTGCGGCCTCGCGCCGCACGGTGCCCCACCCCCCACGGCACACCGGCGGCGATGGGGGGGGGGCGGGCTCTCTGCTGGGCGCTGCCTGCCGGGGGGCGACACGGTCAGGAACCTCCTCCTGCTCCTCCTCCTCCTCCTCCTCCTCCTCCTCCTCCTAGATGAAGTGCGAGGGAGGGGGGAGGAAAGATGATCGGGGGGAACGACAGGGGGACGACAGCGGGGAGGATAGCTTTGGACGCCCGAAATGGGTACGGAAAGAGGGAGGGGAGTACGGTAGCGGGACGGGCCAGAGGCGGCGCCAGAGGCGACGCCAGGGGCACCCAGCGCCGATCCGAGAAACGCACGCGGTTCTCCGATATGCTCATTCTGTTATTCGAATGTGACCCTCCTCCTCCTCGTCCTGTCTCCTCCTCCTCCTCCTCGGCCCTGCTCCCAACTGAGGGCTCCCTTGGCGGGGCCGTGTAAGGCCACACGAGGTCCCACGCGGAGTCCGTACGTACAGCGTCTCTAGACTGGGCACTGGCCCGAGGCCTTGCCGGACAACCGATGGAAGCCATCGTAGTTTGGTTTGGTGAGCGTTTCTTGTTCGGCGTTTCGACATTGGGCGGAAGGGGAGGGGGAGGGGGGGGGCTGGCTCTGGACCTCTGCTTAGTGCGCCTGTTTACAACAGTGCGTCCTATGGAGGAGACTCCACCTGCCTGAAACAGGCGCCCAAAACAGCCAAGATCTACTCCATGGGGGGGGAGGGGGGAGATGCGAGGGCCCGCGCCGATCGGCAAACCAATGCATAAAAAACGATCGCTTGGCAGTGTCGCTCGAAATCACATCGCGATGGAACCCATCATGTTCCATTCCTCCTCCGTCTGGCCCACGAAGCTGGCCGGGCCCCGGGCCCCGCCACACACCTCGCTGACTGGCGCCTCGCAGCACACACCCGGGTGGCGGTGGGGGGCCGTGGCTGCTGGAGGCTTGGGGGCCTGGACCTCTCGGGCCCCACGCTCTGTGCGACGTGCCTCCCGAGCGGCCCTCATCGCCGTCGGCGGGGAGGGGGGAGGGCCGTGCGCCGATAGCGGCGTGCGCACTCCGCCCCACACGCCGTGCAGGGCGCGCGACCATCATCATCATCATCATCATCATCATCATCATCATCATCATCATCATCATCATCATCATCATCATCATCATCATCATCATCATCATCATCATCATCATCATCATCATCATCATCATCAGCATCATCATCATCATCATCATCAGCATCATCAGCATCATCAGCATCATCATTATCAGCAGCATCATCATCATCATTATCATCAGCATCAGCAGCAGCATCAGCAGCAGCATCATCAGCAGCATCAGCAGCATCAGCAGCATCATCGTCATCATCAGCATCATCATCAGCATCACCATTATCATCAGCATTAGCATTAGCATTAGCAGCAGCAGCAGCATCAGCATCAGCATCAGCATCAGCATCAGCATCAGAATCACCATCAGCAGCATTGTCATCATCATCAGCAGCAGCATCATCAGCATCAGCATCATCATCATCATCATCATCATCATCATCATCATCATCATCATCATCGTCATCATCATCATCGTCATCATCATCAGCATCATCATCAACATCAGCATCATCACCGTCATCACCGCAATTGTCATCATCGTCAGCATCATCAACATCAGCACCACTCTTCATGATCCTGATCATGATCATCATAATGAACACATTCATCCTCCTCCTCGTCAGCATCATCATGCTCATCATCATGCCCATCATCACCATACGATTCATCGTCATCATCATCACCACCACCACCAACGTCACCATCACCATCACCATTACCATTATCATCATCACTATCACCATCATCAGCATCGACATCATCATCATCAGCATCATCCTCATCACCACCACCATCATCATCCTCATCCTCATCCTCATCACCATCACCGTCACCGCCATCACCGTCGCCGTCAATACCTTCAGCAACAGCGGCGCGGCATCACCATCATCACCTTGGTGATCCCTAGAGTCCACCACCAAATGTCCCGCCACTATGGGTCCGTAGATATTACCTTCATCAGGCAGCTGAGGGCGCAACGCCGCAACGCTCCCCATAGGCCTTCCCCACATCCTTCTCATCCTCTTCTGCCCCCCCCCCTTCTTGCTTCGCATCCGCCTCCAAATACCCCAACCTCTTCCTCCCCACCCATCCGCGGCCAGGATATGTTGCTTAGGTTGTCGCGGCAGCGGCCCCGGCGACACGCTATGCCCTGCGAGCGGATAGGTTGTCGCTCAGCTCCGCGGGGCGGGAGGCTTCGAACGGCTCGGGATGTTAGTGCTTCGGGACTGGGACGTGGTTAGCGTGGTGGGCCAGAACCGGCCGCACGACACGCTAACCAGGAGTCATTCACCATATACGCCCCTCCTCATCACTCCATCTCTCCTCCTCATACTCAATCCCACCCTCCCCTTCTGACCGACCTCTCAATCTTCCACTTACTCCTCATCCTCCTCCTCCCCCTCGTCCTCCTCAGCGTCATCATAATCATAATAATAAACAGCATCATCATCATCATCATCATCATCATCATCATCATCATCATCATCATCATCATCATCATCATCATCATCATCATCATCATCATTCATCATCACCACCATCATCATCATCATCATCATCATCATTATCATCATCATCGCCAGCATCATCATCAGCATCATCATCATCATCATCATCATCATCATCATCATCATCACCAGCATCAGCATCATCATCAGCATCATCATCATGATCATCATCATCATCAACAACATCATCATTATCATCATCAGCAGCATAACAATAATAATCATCATCATCAGCATCATCCTCATCTTCAACATCACCATCATAATCATCATCATCATCAGCATCATCATCATCACATGATCAGCATCAGCATCATCAGCATCAGCATCAGCATCAGCATCATCATTAGCACCAGCATCAGCATTCAACCTCATCATCACCATCACCATCACCAGCAGCATC